TGCTAAAGTCAAGGTATACAACATCGCAATCCTTACCACTATCAACTGCCTCAACAATGCTAGAATAAAAAGATAACAAATTTGTTAAACATGAACGGCCATTTATAAAACCATGTTGCGACTCAATTATTAATTTATGTTTTTCAAGATGAAGACGAATTTTATTTGCTATTATAGATTCGAGTAACTTTCCCACAATAGACGTTAGGCTAATTGGTCGATAGTTAGACGCAAGTGATCTATCTCCTTTCTTAAAAACTGGTATCACATTAGCAACTTTCCAAAACTCTGGCACTCTGCCTGACTCTATTGATTTATTAAATATGGTTGACAGTGGGTCACAAAGCTCCTCTTTGCATTCTTTAAGCACCCTAGCAAACACTTCATCCGGCCCTGGGGATTTGTTTGGTTTGAGTTTTACTATTTGTTTAAGAACATCCTCCCTGGTAACTGCTAAACTCGTCAACCTGTCCTCGTCCCCACCCACATAGACTTGTTCGGCTGAAGGCATATTGTTAAGTTCCTCTTTAGTAAATACAGATACAAAATATTTATTAAAAATACTACTCATCTCTTCATCACTATCTGTTATTTGACCTGTCTCAGTTTTTAATGGACCTATCCTTTCCCTAGTCTTAGTACGATATAACTGAAAAAACCCTTTAGGATTTGTCTTTGCTTGCCCTGCTATGCGAACTTCATAGTTTCTTTTTGCTTTCCTTATCTCTTTTTTAACATTTCTAACCAGTTGTACGAATTCCTGTTCTAAAGTGACCTCCCCATTTTTAATCCTTTTGTACCAAGCTCTCTTTTTACCTATAAGGTTCTTCAAATTCTTTGTTATCCACTTTGGGTCATTAGTATACGATCTATTCAATTTGTATGGTATACTACGTTCCTGTGCTTTGTTTAGAATATTCTTAAATAAGTTATATATTGAATCCACATCGAAATCCCCATTTAAGTCACCTATCGCTGGGTTCATGTCTCGCTCCAAGACCGGCCCACACCCCATACCCAAGCCTTTCCAATCAATTTGACCCAAAAAATTTCTTAGGCTATTAAAATCAGCTTTTCGAAAATCTGGCACTTTAACAGAATTTTCTCCTACTGGTCTATTCCATTCTATGCTAAATCTGATTTCTTTGTGATCACTGCTCCCTAGCTTACTCCCTATTTCGATGTCATTAATTTGCGTTTCCCTGTTAGTTAACACTAAATCTAAAATATTATTTTCCCGTGTTGGTTCCTTAATGTGTTGCGTAAGAAAGCAATCGTCAATTAATTCTAGAAAATCTTCTGCTTCACTATTCCCTGTTTTGTTCAACCAGTTTATTCCGCTAAAATTAAAGTCACCCATGACATAAATACTGTTAGATCTAGATGCTCTAGATATTTCATCCCATAGATGCTTTGCTTCCATTCTGTCCAAATTTGGTGGCCTATACATCACTCCCACCACAATATTACCAGCTTCCTCGTTTAATTCAATCCAAATAGTTTCTGTGTGTGGCTCTGTTTTGATTCCCTCTTTGAGACTACATTTCAAATTGTCCCTAACATATATGGCTACTCCACCTCCTCGTCTAATATATCTATCTGTGTGAAATAGTTTAAATCCATATATTTGATATTCAGCTAATAGTTCTCTATTTTCTACATTCATCCACGTTTCGGTAAGTGCAATAATATCTATTTTTTCTGTGCAGACAAGAGCATTTAATTCGTTAATTTTATTTCTTAGACTTCTACTGTTAGTGTAATATACCCTAAGTGAATTGTTATTTTGCGGACCTTCTCTTTCCCTGATCGTTTTGCCAATTCCTTTCTCCCACAAACACATACTTTTATTACCTCCTTCCTCCAAATCAATTCCCATACCTCTATCTACTAACAGTTTAAACCCAAACAAACACCTCTAACCACTTCTTCTAGCGAGTTCGCAACAGCAACAACCCCAGCTCTCGATAGATGCACCCCATCACGAGCATACATTTCATTTCTTCCATAGAAGTGTTCCCAGTTGTCTATGAAAGATATTGCATTTGATTTGCAATATCTTTCCAGCCGGCAATTGACACCAAGTGCCCTCGATATCCATTCATTTCCCACTCCCTTTCTTGGAAGAATGCCACATATGATCGGGATTCCTCCCTTGCTCCTAACTAACTCTATGGCTGTTTTATACCTCTGAATCAGTTCCTCACTCCTGACTCGACCAACATCATCTGTGAGCGTTTTCTTCCAACCGCAGAAAAACATTTATTTTCCCGTAAGTCAGTGGTTCGTTTGACTAGTCCAAAGGCTTGGTTGGCTTAGGAATAATCCAGCTAAAAAAAATCATCAGAAGAATTGGCGGGGAGGGGGGGGGGGAGCGCTGATAAGCTGATGATATACCTGTATTTAAAGGGCTTTTGCAAGAATGTAAAACCATCACTCTAATGTAATTTTACCAACCCATTGTAACTTCTTGTAAATAAAATAATATTATTATTTTTATTATACTCATCGATCTCATCATACTCTATCTCATCTATACTCTATCTCATCTCATCTAACTCATACTATAGGTACTCATCCATGCTTACCAGTATCATATGAAAAGCAAAACTTTCGTATTATGAGACTAGATTCAAAGAAGCAAAAGGCAACATGAAAAGCACATGGAATACCATCTCTAACATCCTGGGAACTAAACAACACTCCCACAACCAGATAACACTCTCTAAGGATGGCCTTACACTGTCATCTGACTTAGAAATGGCGAATGAATTTAATAGCTTCTTTTCATCGATTGGTGCTAACCTTGCAAGTAAAATCCCACAGACTCAGACACATATCTCTCAGGCAGCTATCCAAACTCTCTTCTCCTCTCACCAGTCAGCCCGTCAGATGTTATGTCCATCATACACTCACTAAAAACCAAAGCTGGGAACATCAGTGAAATCCCATCCATTGCATACAAGAGCACCTCCCATGCCCTTGCACCACCTATAGCTCTGCTGTTCAACAAATCCCTTGAGTGTCATACCTTCCCTGATATCCTTAAAAATGCAAGAGTAACGCCAGTTCATAAAGGAGGTAATCCGTCAGACATAAACAACTACAGACCAATATCGAACCTACCCATACTATCAAAAATATTTGAAAAAATTATCCACAAACAGCTCTACTCCTATCTCGTAAAATACGACATTCTTAGCCCCTGTCAGTTTGGCTTCCGCTCTCAAAAGAGTACCAACGATGCAATTATTAGCCTCCTTGATATAATTTACTCAGCCCTTGACAAAAATGAGTTTCCAATTGGACTCTTCATTGGCCTGAGAAAGGCCTTTGATACGGTTAATCACGATTACCTCTTATGTAAACTCCATCATTATGGAATCCGAGGCCATGCACTGGACTGTATCCAATCCTATCTTAGTGATAGACACCAATATGTAGCCATCATTAATATTATCTCTCCCATTCTACCAATAACCGTTGGAGTGCCACAGGGCAGCATCTTGGGACCCCTACTATTTCTTATATACATTAATGATCTGCCTAATGTCTCTAACATTCTGAAACCTATTTTGTTTGCTGATGATACTACCCTCATTTACTCCAACCCCAACCCACATACACTAAATGATGTTGTTAATATTGAACTAAAAAAAGTCCACTTATGGATGTCAACCAACAAACTAACACTTAACATAGAAAAGACCTACTACATCCTATTTGGAAGCAAATTTACAAATGCAATTCAGCTTCAGATTAACAATGTAAACATTAGCAATAAAAATTATGGAAAGTTTCTTGGCATATTCCTAGACAAGAGACTCAACTTCAGTACCCACATACAACACATAACTAAGAAAGTCTCTAAAACAGTTGGTATACTCTCCAAAATCAGATATTATGTTCCTAACTCTGCTCTCATCTCTCTATATTATGCACTAATCTATCCCTATCTCAACTATGGTATCTGTGCATGGGGTTCAACCACTACAAACCACCTCAAGTCCATCATCACCCAGCAAAAATCTGCTATCAGAATAATATCAAATTCTGCTTTCAGACAACACACAGCCCCCTTGTTTAACTTCCTAAACATGCTAAACATAATCTCACTCCACAAATTCTCTTGTGTCAACTACATTTACAAAACCCTGTTCTTAAATGCAAATCCTTGTCTGAAACTCTTCCTGGACAGATGTAATAGGACCCATTATCACCACACCAGAAATAAATATCTCTTCGATATCCCCAGAGTTAAACTTAATCTGTGTAAACACTCTATGCAAATAAAGGGACCCAGTTTATGGAACTCACTCCCTACTGAATTGAAAAGCTGTCCAACTTTTACATCATTCAAAATTAATACTAAAAAGTACCTAATTTCATCTTCATAATTTTTCACTTTTTGCCTTAAAATTGCACTGTATCTATTGCTACCCAATCTTTATGTACCCAATCTGAACATCTTTACCATTGTGATCATTGCTGTCTTATATGTGCTGTCAATCTGCTGTATGGTGTCTATTAATCTTGTTTAAATTACTAATCAAGCTGTCAATGTAATCAATCAGAGCTTTAACATAACAATGTGCTTTAATATACTTACTTATCTCTCTCATCACATTTTTCTCTTGTAATGTATCTTTCATTTATCAATTCTGATAGAAATTACCTACTTAAAATTATCTGCTAGATTAAGGACCTGCCCGAAACGCTGCGCGTACTAGTGGCTTTACAAGAATGTAAATACTGTACTATCCAATGTATTCTCACAAACCCAATGTACCTTCTTGTATATATATAAATAAATAAATAAATAAATAAATAAATAAATAAATTATTATTTATTATTATTATTATTATTAATTATGATGATGATGAAATGATTTACCTGCCCGAAACGCTGCGCGTACTGGTGGCTTTACAAGATTGTAATTACTATGCTATGTATCATCACAATCCCAATGTATCTTCTTGTATATATATATAAATAAAATAAATAAATAAATGTTTGTTGACGTGTACGAGAGCGAGGGTGTGCGAGAGGTGTGTACGAGGTGGCCAGGTGGCAGGTGTGTGGCGACCGGGGCGACCAGCTGAGTGATGGCTGTAAATAAGCAACACGAGTTTCCAACCTCATCAGGTGTGTGAGACAACTCTAGTGTTTTAAACCTGGTGCAGGGCGAGATATTTATTGTTGGAGATAGCATGATATATGTGACGTATACCGAACCATGTTGTTGTGTCATGCTGAAGTGTATTTTTTTTTTATTGAAGTAATTCAGCCCTATATACCCACCCTGGCTTGAGGGGGCAGAATTTATATATTTTGTTTATTTATATACAAAAAGGTACAATGGGTTGTGATAGCACATAACATGTGTTCTTGCCCCTGAACACCAATCCTGCCCGTCCCATCCCGGGTGGGACAAAAATGGTTCGGAGCATTTCCTATCCCCTCATGCCCCTGTTCACCTAGCAGTAAATAGGTATCTGGGAATTAGTCATATAGTTGTGGGGGCTGCATCCTGGAGGTAAAGGGGGGGGGGTCAGTAATCATTTTTTGTCTTGGCCAAGATTCGAACCCGGAATTTCTGATTGTGAGTCGAGAACAAACCCATTTCAGCTCAGTTACTGTATCACAGTGATTTTTAAGCCATGTACAGTGCTGTAATTTATATATAATATTACATTTGGATTGTTTTAAATTTAATTCCTAGCTTGAGAATATTTTTTAGTTTAACGAAGCTATAAATAATAGGCTTATACTTATTGCTGGTCATTTTGCACCATTAGTAGTTTGGGCCCTATACCAGTATGCCCCATTCCTGTCACCTTAGGTTAGAGGAGACTGGCAAAGGTCAAAATAACCAGCAGTTCCTATTTATTTGATGGAGCCCAAAACGTGCTGCGTTTTAGTGGCTTTAAGCATTGTACCTGCCCTACCCCATTATTCATACAATCTTATATCCTGTGTATGTATGCATGCTTAATAAAAATTAGTACTACTACTCTTATTATTATTATTATTATTATAATAATAATAATAATAAGAGGTACTGTACTGTCATTTTTACCCCTTGTTAGTTCCACTACCGCCCACAAGATGGGTATGGGGTGCATAATAAATGAACTAAACTAAAACTAACTGTTAGTTTGCTCCATACCAATACACCCTCTAACCTCAAGTTGGGGGTAGGGTCTAGTGACTAGGACGGAGGTGAACTGGTAGGCAACTAACTGTCAAAGGGATAAAATTACTGGTAACCATTGTCATACGAATACTGGTGCATACAGGTTAGCCAACATTTTCCAAAAAGTCTCATTTTTTGCTTAATTTATGGTAGATGATATTTTCATGGCAATGAGAAATAGCATTGCCTAATTAATTGACCAATCTTATACGTACAGTACAAAGATTATATGTAATTCAATGTTCTCATTTTATTTTAAAATACATGTAGGCATACAGTAATAGTTTAGTAAACAGACATTAGGAAGTTTTAGAATGTGTAGTTAAGAATGCATATACAGTATGTTATATTTATGTAAATGTTTCCCCATTATCAGCAACATTATCATTATGCTGTATTTATTTCTGAAACCTTGTATAACATAAACATAACATGATATAAAAGCATTAATATGGTTTGTGGTAGTTACAGATGACAGCTCAACCACTGTGGGTGAGTCACTTATTCAATAAATTGCATGCTTGCTTCAATTTAGTTTTCACGTTAAATTCTCTTTTTTTTATATTTGGTTAACACTTTAAATATTCTTTTGAAGTCTAGTGCATTTTTGGAGAGGATAGGCAGAAGGTGAGGAGTTTATACGGGATCTATTTAAATAGGGGCCTAAAGTTATCTTAATTTATCATGAGGAAATTGGGTAAATTAGAATGTATTGCATGGGGATATTGGCATTGTAAATTGATTTCTGCCATGTAACATGGACACTTTAATCATATACAACATTTCACAGGAAAGTGGTAAGTAAAATATTTGTTGCTATTTACTGTGTTGCACATTATTAGCTGGAGGCATTTGCAAATTTTATTTAATTTAGTTTATTATATAAAAGGGAAAGGGGGGTACCCCTTCTGGGTGGAAGAAGGGGATCCATAACTTTGGAGAAAGCTATGGGGTCCTCTCCAAATGTAATCCCCTCCAACTACATTGGAGGGGATTTTTAAGTCCCCTCCAATGCAGTTTCCATGTTCTTTTGTCCTACCTCCCCCATTCCTATTGTTTTGTTTTGCTTTATTAGCTATTTAAAGGTTACAAGTAGTACTGTACATTGGTTAATACAATGAATGCTTAAAAGTTATGGGTCTCTTGGAGCTCCTTTGCTTCCTGACAAGAACCAAGGACACGGCAAGCATTTTCCCCTTTAGATCGCCGTACTGAGGCACTGAAATAAGAAACTGGCAGTCGTCTCTAGTTATGTCAACAAGCCTGGAACCTTATTCTATGAGAAAGCCCAAAGTACTCCTACCCCTAGGGTCGAGCATCTCAGACGCTATGGGAACAAAGGTGTATTGAGCTTTCAGTCGCGTGTTCTTGATTGATTTTGATGTTTTCCTTTGGTTGGCTGCACCACCTGCTTGATCAGCACTGAGGTGTATATAGGCATCAGCAATGGTAGATACATGTGTGTAGTCCTACACCAGCTGTTTGCTTTGTTCAGTGCTAATTATGTACAGGTACCTTATGTACCTTATGTAAACAAAAAGATTGACATTTTTCAATATGAAATTTGCACTACACCATCCTGCTTTAAGAAACTGCTCGGTACTTGCAGAAATACTTACACTTAAGACAATAATTATATTTCTTTTAAATGAAGACCTAAAGAACTAGTCTCGTAAGTGTCAGACTAAAGAGAGCTATGTGGTACACGTAATTGTATCAATTGGACTTGTAGTATGTATAATATATATATGTAGTATAATGCAAGTATAATTTGATCATTATGTTGCACATTGTGAAGTTGTGTATTTATTAGCTGCAAAATATATTTCTATGAACATAAAGTTCCTTGTATTTATTAGTTTGAATTTATATAGATTCATGCTTACCTCAGGTTAAAACACCTTTAGTTAGGATAGTCAGTTGTACGTAAATGCATTTAGATTTAAAATACCTTTAATATACAGTACAGTAGTATGTATTTTCGTCAGTATAACAGTTCTGTACTGTATCGACAGTTTCACACACACACACTGCTGATTGGTACACTTACAGTAATTGTGGACAAGTCAGCAGAGTGTTATATATATACAGTACTGTACCTTAGTATTGATGACAATCAGTACAATTTGAAACAAGAACACACAAGATTTATATTCGATTTTCTTTTCAGCAAACCTTGTGGAAATGGACACATCTGCAAGTGGCTTTCAGTTGGTCAATACATATCGCACTAATAAGGTGGATAGTTTAGACTTGGTGGAACTTGCAACGGAAATCCAAAAGGTTAGTGTACGATAGTTACATTTTTTATGTTTACATAGCAAATTACATTTCCCGCTTATATATACAATACAGCATTTAGTGTCATTTTAAGTGTAATATAGTACTATATACAGTGCAACCAGAAAAATCAAGGAAAATAAAAATCCATAGTGGTTTGGCTACCTGAACAGTATTTGGAAGTCCAGAATGGGATGCATGCTTTCAAATATGCGAGGGGAAAATAAGTACTGACCAGGATTGTGTATATGTACTTGCTTATCTTGTATTTCAAAATTGCTACTATTGTTTGACTTTTTATTAAATATTAAGAAGAAAAATTAAATGTTTTACTGTTGTAAACAGTGTTTATTTGTGTGGTTGCCCTTGTCTTGCCAATACTGGACATGACCAGACCATATGGTCTCTACCTCTGTGCTAATACAATGTTACTCTAGATACTCAAGGATATTCAGGAATTTTACTTCTGATATTTCATTATTTGAGATGAAAACATGTCTGGTAGAAAGGGCTGTAATGTTAAATTGGGTAGAAAGTAGTAGTATCTTAGCATAAGAGAATTTAAAGGTGCTGCCTCTACATTTATCAGCCACAGAGCATATAAGTTTTCTGTAAATTTTAGCAATGGAGGATGCAACTATGAGGTGTTCAATGAGAAGACAAGCTAAGGCTAAGATCTACTGTACTAAGTAACAGGCTTACCATTGTTGTGAAAAGGGTTTTAGTTCGTACTTTTGGTGGCTCCCAACAAATTTTGCTAATTGTGCAAAATGCAGGGTTATAAAACTGATGTAAAAGTACCAAATACCAGACCTGATAAGACTCGCAAATGTTATCCAGTTGCATTCTCCTATATTGATGCAAAAACAGGTTCACCTACAGGGATGTGCAGTCTGTCAGAAATGTGTCTGCTCTCTCTGATCGCCTCCTCCCCGAGTCTACGTGGATCACTTACGGAGTATTAACCAGATTATGGGCTAGAGCACATCAATTCTGTATTTTAGTTGGTAGTCAGATTTGCTGGAGAAAGAATGGTCAGATTTTCTGGTTTGAACTTAGTGGAAGCAACTTCCTCTCCTGTCAGCAGGAAAGTTATGAATCTTGTAATTAGATGACAACTCGGTAAGAGCACTAGTAATGGTCATCTGAAGTGGTGGAGAACTGTATTGGCCCATGTTTACTCCGAATGATATTCAGTACTGTATAGTGTGTGGAAAGCATTTCTTTTCTTTATCTTTTGTGTATATCTATTACCTTTTCACTAGTATGATTTTTTTGGCTTGATGCCTCCCCACTCCACGAAAGTGAGAAACAGTGAAATAATGATGCATGACCAAGTGAGTTTAGTATCACAATACATTACAGTATATGCAAAGATATTTTCTCTTATTTGCACTAATGGTGTTGCAATGGATGAGGTGCACTAGTTCTGGCCAGTAACTGGATGATTGTGACCATACAAACAAATGTGTCCTTGGCTAGGATAACCTCGATAAGCCTAACAGGCTTCCTTTCTAACAATTTATATAACACGCTAAAAGTAATTATTTGGAGGCCACAAAATGCAAAAAAGTAGCTTTGATTGAATACAACAGTCTGTAACTAATCTTTCCAGTTGAACAAGTTTCTAGTGTATTTTTAAAGTCTTGTTAAATTTTCTATGATAATTCAGGTACTATATTTTAATTGTTTCTTTATTAGTGCCTGTTTTACATTGAAATATTTCCAAATTGTATAATATTTTTTTTTTCTTAGCCATGTTTACATGGATCAAATATTTCCAGACTTTATTGACTCATCACTTTTAGAAGGCAAAATGATACATATGAAGCCAATAAAATAATAGTTATGTGGTTTAATTCAAATACAGTATGGAACAATTTTTTGTCGGGCTAATTCTCATTCTAGGCCGACACATTCGTACATGCAAATGTAAGCAATAAGCTCCAGGTGATTGCAGAACAGGTGCGGTTTCTTCAAGAACAAGCAAGAAAAGTACTGCAGGAGGCTAAGGAAAATGCTGACCTCCATCACATTCCCTGTAACTTTGTCAAGAAGCCTGGCAATATTTACCACATTTACCGACGACAATCTGGCCAAAAGTATTTCTCCATTATTAACCCAAAGGTATTGTTGTATATAAATTTTAGCCCTAATATCATTAGATTGTATAGTTATTTTTTGCATTCTCACAATTTCATATTGGATGTAGTGTTGCTACCATGGTTCCATTATGGATGGCTGTGTCTGTTACACACTTTGCATTCTTGGGCCGCTAGTAACATAGTTGACAGTTGTCAAATTTGTCGTGCTCAATTATGTTCATGCATATGGTTGTTGCCTATAATTGTTTCCTCTGTGTCCTTTCTTGCCTTCTAAAATGGGAAGTATGTTTTCTGTGTATTATTGTTCACTTTATATATACCATACAGTACTAATATCAATTGCCCTGATACCTTACTGCCTCAACTAGAGGGTAAACCATGCTGATATTACTCCTGGAGGCTTTATCACCACAATAATCTTTCATTCTTTCTATAATATATTGTGCAGTTCTCTCCTTCAAAGATACTAGTCATCTGCCTCTACCTTATGAACCCAGAGAATTTTATTGTTAACAAATTTAAAAGAAAGACCTTTCCTCAAGATTAAAAAAAAAAGCTAATACACCTAATTAAAAGTAAAAATTACTAAAATAAACTAAAACATAATACCTTGGAATACCAAGATTTTCATGTTAGTTTGTGTACTAATAAGGGGAAGCTTTTTTTTGGGTGGGGGGAGGGGGGGGATGTAGTATATGTGCAGTACATTGCCGTATTCCACACTGAGGAACTAAATAATATCTCGACAAAAACTCTTCCCAATACAATACTTTTTTTTTTTTTGAGATATGTACAAGAGTTGTTACATTCTTGTACATTGATGTTACATTCTTGACATTGAAACTCTTCCAAATACAATACGTTTTTTTTTTTTTTTTTTTTTTTTTTGAGATACAAGAGTTGTTACATTCTTGTACGTTGATTTTGACAGTAGCAACCTTAAAACTTCATTGGTTACCTCAACCTCATACTTTCTATTATTTCACATATGTTCCTCATTGAAACTATCCCTCATATTCTAAAAACAATCATTAGCGCCTTTCAGCTATTAATTCTGTCATCTTCTGACTTGAAACAAAAAACTTGGTTTGCTGTCGTTTTATTATCATCACACTGATTTCCACTTTTGTACAGTGGGGAGGTTCAAAGAGGATAGGGTACAAAAAAAGTACAATACTGAATACTGTACTTTAAAATATACAGTATATCTTGAAAATGTGTTTCAAGATACTAAGCTCCAGAAAATCATGTGTAGTACAGTAGTTAGTTTCTTGGCTGCTTCATAGACTAGGCGTGAAGTCTCCGTAATCATGTCATAGATAAAGGAAACATCCAATAACTTCCCTAAATACACTGCTTCAGCCTCTACACTGATGTTCACAATCGTAAATTTTCCTTGTATATACATTCACTTATCTGCCCATCTTCTCAAATTCATTGGATAATACAGTGAAAATGCCTTTTCCATACATTTTATGTGACTAACATATTGTGAAGGACATACCAAGTACAGACCAAAGATGTTGGTTACTGTATTAAGCAATCAACATTTTACTTAAATCCAACTCTACTGTTCATGCCACACTCCTTATCTTTTTCTTCCTGACTCATTGTATCCTTCAAACTCTCAAAGTTTGGAGGGCAGTCAAAGAGAGCAGTTTCCCCTCTACAGAATTTATCACTTCATGTACACCTGTTTGCAAAACTTCCATACAACCATTCGTCACAACTCTTTCTTTATCTTTGCTAAAAGAGCTTAGCATAATTTACTTGCAGAAACTAATGTTGTATTTATTATTAGGAGTGGGGATCAACGTGTCCGCATGAATATTTAGGATCATACCGTCTAGAACATGACCATTCGTGGACACCAGAGAATAAAATGGAAGCCAGGTCTAATGATCAGAAGATGATAGACAAACTTTTATCATGTTCAAACACCTTATCTATAACAATGGGCAAGTAATGTAAGTTTTTTTTTTTTATACAAAAGTATGTAACTGGTTTATATACACGTTGGTTTTAGTGCTAATATATTATGGGCTATTTATGCCTGTGCCACCTCTTCATCAATTTTAATCTTAAGATAGATGAAGAGGGTGGCTTAATCTTTATCAGTCAGTAAGTGCTAATAATATATTCTTGCAATGTGGATACTTTATCAAATGTTTTGTTTTATATTTTAAAGCTAGGGGAAACATTATTTAAATATATACAAAATATTGGCTACATAGTAATAGCTATTGTATTTGACTTGCTATATTCAAGTAAAGTTCTATATATTCCCTAATTATGTTATTCATCCTTTCTTATGATGCATTCTGTACTTTAGTTATTAAAATGACTATAGTAGTTTTCTATATTTGTATGTAACTTCAACTACTGGGTATTTTCTGTTCCTGGTTGAGTGAAAATTTGTCTCAATCTCTCTGACCTGTGGTTGGTTATTTCGAGGTTGATTTCTTGGTATAACATTGTTTGCTATTCTCCATCTTAGACTGGGTAGGTTGAAGACTCCAAAGAAAATAATATCTGGTATTGAGGCTATTTTCTATTCTGATAACCTGCTCTGTAAATTCCTCAACCATTGCATCTAGCAGTTTGTATATTAGTATATTAAAATAATTACATAGGTTTGTTTTCTCTAATTTTATCCAAGTATTTCTACCATCTCATTTGTAAAGTTTAGGAGCTCTTGAGCATATAAGATCCTCTCCAATATACAAATCTACCACTCCATATAACCTAGTTACTTGAATTTATATAAATTATAATCTGGTATCCAGATCTCACTGTCCATTATTTCCCCCATTTGGATTTCTGTGAAAGCTCCAAATAGTGCATTTGCTTCTGTGGAGGCCATTTATAAGCGATATTTAGTTTTTTGCCTTTTAATTTTGCTAAGGACTATAAAAACAATGAGATTGCTCTGGTGCATCTTTAGGTTTTTCAGGGAGTTCTGTTATTGGGGTTCATATTAGATTTGTTCTGACCTGTACTGGTGTTGCATGTCATAGTTGTAACTGTGACTGATGTGCATATGGTTTCCTTTGCCAGTTCCAGTATCATGAATGCCCTATGTGCCACCTTTCGAAACCTATTTCTTCTGGCTCTTTAAATTATTTGCCTCTTCTCCTAAACCATGTTCCTGTTTGCCATTCTGTGCCTTTCATATTTAAATCTGGGCAGCACAAGTAATAGCATTTTCTTTGAGAGATTTTGCAAATCTAGATAGAAATACCTGCATGTTGATCCAGAGCATAAATTTTTCACTTAAAGTATATTGAGGTATTTTTTGGGATGATTGTAAGTGCATTCCAATATCTTTCTCTTTCCACAATGTCTGCAAATGCCCTTTGCGTGTGTGTGTATCTCAATTGAGCTGCCTGTTACACTTTCCTGTCTGCTGCCATCTTTGTCTGGGTTTACTGATTTAGGGTTTTCACTATGCAAATTTTTTTTACCAAGTATAAAATTGATCATTTGGGCTAAGACATAAATGTGTTGGAAAAACACCACCACAAGCTGTGAATTCTTTATTTAAGAATGACACAATTCAATTACCATTCCCAGTCTGATAGATACTGTAATGATTACTCAATTTACAAATAATTATAAAATTATGAGGCCTTAATTGACATTATTCTCCAAAATTGAAAGCTACAATGAGTTTACTTTTCTTGACAAAATGATTACAGTATCCACATTAACACTTTTCTGAAAATTTCTAATTCTTGAACCAGTGTACATTAACATTTTAATATGCATTAGTGCTAGACAATAAATATTATGCTACTTATTTTCAAGCCTTTGCTTGATGGCCGTTACCATTTCCTCCCTTTTGACAGATACTTCTGCACGTGTGGCTGTTTCTCGAAGTTTCACTATACCTTCTTGCACTTCTGATTCTCCAATAAGCACTACCAGTGGAATTGCATTATCTTCAGCATACTATAAAAGAAAACCAACTAATTATTAGATTTCTGAACACAAAAGTACATGAATGAATGAACTAAATGAATTAAATAAAATTCTACATAAAAAAGGAATACCAGTTTATCACTACACAACTCCACCTGAACTCTCAAACATCTGTGTCCATTCTGTTACATTCACGAAGTATACTGCGGATGAGAAACTGTACAGTACAGCCTAAAAAATACCAAGTGACTTGCAATTCTGCAAAGTCAAGCAATTTCATATTGTATATGATGCCAGATGATCATCAAAGAAATTGAAACAAAGTTAATTATACATGGAAGTTGTGTAACACTTAACAGCATTTCCAGTAAGAACAGAAAATTGTATATTCAAGTGATCAAGGCAGGAATGATCAGTAAAGTTGTAATACATTGAAAGACTACCAGCAGCAACATGAAGGTTTGGTTGGACACCAAACCTAATTGTAAGGTGAGTTAGCATAAAGATAAGTAACGGTAAGAATTATTAAAATTGACATACTGTATATTAACACCATTTCCCCCTTGATTTTCTAGTTTACTCAAAAACATATTTATATTTAGCATTACTCACATGATTATGCTTTGAGTAAACAAATGTAAATGTAGTACAAAACTTACAAACCCCTTTTCGGAACACACACACACACTTCGTTAAACAACTGTTCAAAACAATATTTCCAATAGGCGCAATGTTATCAATATAGGATGCATTCCTAGACCACCAAACAAATAGCTTGACTATTCCTTTATCATTAGACATTTAAAAAGTTGAAGTGGTAGGTGGTAATGTACAGCTGATACAGGAGTCTTCTTCAGTGTCACTTGCTATTGTAGACTAATGCTACAATGACACCAACAGAAGCCATTCTGAGCAAAATTAGAGATAATACCATTTATATCCTTATTCACACGCTACATGGTTGAAGTTTACCAAGCAAAATCTAAAGTTCAACCTGTCATGCAATACCAGAAAACCTGACTAAAGGGATTACTCTATAGCCCTGCCTTTAAACACATTTAATCTGTGAAATTCCTTCTTAGAGGTATCCATTTCCATTGGGTCACCTAGGCACTGGTACATCACCAACACACTTCCTTTCAACAGCGATCAATTATAGTATTTTACATAATAAACATCTGGGACAGCATAGGATGGATACATGGCACTAGCAGGTCATGCAAAAGTTTTTGTAGTGCACACACATTGTCACCTGGAGGCAAATACTTACACTAAGAATCTTTGCTTTTGTCTATATAAGCAAATGGATAAATTAGAAGTATAAAGTAAAACATGCTTAATATGACATGGGAACCGAGATCGAAGGTACAGTGGGGTTGGTTTATGTTACAGAACAGGGTGGGCAGGGAGCGAGCAGGATAAAGATGTGACTGCCACTGTACACCTTTAGGGCTGCTTGTTTTGGCTGCCTACATCTAGCCTGGCTGGCTTATGCATGATTGGAGGAGGGGAGGGGAATCACCGAGGACATGTGAACCACAAACATTGCCGCCACCACCAACGAAGACTCCCGATATCCATACAGTATTGACACCAAAACCACAAACCTAAAAATGAAGAAACAATGATGTTTCAGTCCGTCCTTGACCATTATTAAGTCACGTGATTAATGCTCCAGGGCAGACTGAAACAACATAGTTTCTTTACTTTCAGCTTTGTGGGTTGGGTGTCAACTTGTCAGCCATATTATTGTGACTTCATCTTGATACCATATTTTCCTTAATAAACCTCTGAAAAAGTTGACAGCATGCTGACTGGGTGTACATGAGAATACTGCTGACTTGGGCAACATGTCAGCCATATAGTATCCTTGGCCATGCACATGTTTTTGGAGCACCTCACATTGATATAAAAGTACCACTATTCATACTACAGAGGATGAAGGAGTGGGTTCTTATAACAGTAAAATAACACACTGGTAAAACCAAGAACAATACTCTACTAGGATTAATATAAAGATAACTTTTGAAGCTATTACATCCTTACCTGTAGCTGAGTGAGGATCTTTGGGTTGTTTTTGTAGCTAGATTCTGCCTTAATTCCTGCACTATGCAGAAGACCAACAAGTTTCAATCTTTCATGTACCATTCCTTTACATGCAGCTGCCACAAACACTTCTGTTTGGGTTGATCGCAGCTGTAACAAATACAGTAAAATTCAAAGCAAGTTATATCAAAATATTTAAAGTGTAAAAGTAAACAAGTTCCAGATACTGTATATTGTTTTAACACTTTACCATGCTGATGATGATGAAACATATCATCCATATTCCAACAGTAAATATTCTGATGATACAAAAATGTCATTCATCTCAAAATTCATGATATCATTTGTCATTTATTAGTTTAATTTATTTATTTATTTACTTATTGGAACAGTGTGAACCTAGCTTATCAGGGGGACCAACTAGAGATCACCTCGGCCAGGTATCTGTCAATAAAGATAATAATTGCTCTGCTTGTGAGAATTTTCACCATGATTTGCAGATTATCTGCTAGAAAAGAATGAGTTATGTTTGCTTTTTTTATACAATAGCACAGACCAATAATGTGGAAACATTTCCATATTTAGAAATATGAGGAATGTTGAGATGAAAATTTTTATATTCATCAGTGTCATGCAAATCTTATTATCAAATCACTTTTTATTTTGCATCTGTACTCTAGCAAATTCATTTGCAAGTATTTTGACACGAAATTAAACCCAAAAGCTAACTGAGAAAATATTTATAAAGTATAAATGTTTTAAGTATCACTGAGCAGGACTCCAAGATGCCTGGAACATTTAGTCATGAATACATTGACAGGTCAGAACATTAGTGTTAATATTAGAACAACACGAGTGTAATTGTATTTATAGTATATATTTGCTGCATCTTCTTTTCTACATGAACTTCTCTTAAGAGTGTGGTCATATGCAGAATGCATTTAAACAAATATTGAATGAGTACTTTAGAATGTTTAAGCAAAGAACTTCACATGCTGGTTTGTTCCATCACTTGCATCACTGTTCCATTAGTGGGAACAAAACTATATGAAAGGAATGAGAGCACATTACTCAAAAACTTCTGTGAAACAATGAAGTTCTATGATAGACTGGCCTTTCATTTTGCCCACTTCACTTTAAAATCTAACCAGGCCCTACAAGTATTATGGTAAAGCAACGATTTATTTCCATAAAAAAAATCTTTAAAATGCTTGAACAATAACATTTACAGACATAATTCATGTTTAGTGTTTATCAAAATCAGAGCTAACTTTATGTTTAAAGCACTACATATTTTCAGCATGAAAATCCCAAATCGAGTACTATAATCTACATTCAAATTTCAGTAAAGATATCTAGCACAATACCAATACTGTTTTTCTTTACTACAAAAAGTTAAATATAGTGCAAATGTTAAAGATGGGTAAATAAATTTAGGTCTAGTGAGTTATTGTCATGCTACACTATTGAACTATATAGGTTTCTGTAGTAGTTATATTCGTTCTCAACTGGGAATCCCGGGTTTGAATCCCGAGCGGGACAAAAATAGTCTGGCACATTTTTTTTTCACCTAAAGCCTTTGTTTGCATAGAAGTACCCAGGAGCTAGGCAACTGTTGAGGCATTATATCCTGGCAAGGTCAGCAGTTCAACCTTGGCAGACCTCAATACAAGCCTAAAGTATATACTGTATATATACAGGCTGCCTGTCCCCAACAAACAATAATTATTAGTTTTAATATGATTCCTAATGAGTTGGAATTGATTATGAATAGATCAAAAGGAAGACAGACAGATTAAATAAGTTATAAGATGCTGTCTATTTATTGATGCAGTACAATATATTTAACTTATAGTGCAAATAGCATTAGTGCAACAGCCTAGTGGACCAAACTCTCACAAGTCAAGCCTGGCCTTAGGCCGGGCTTGGGGAGTAGAAGACCTCCCAGAACCCCATCAACAAGGTAGCATTATTATTAAGACATTATTAAAAGCACATACTATACAAAGAATCTTAGAATAATTCATTATGTCAGAGAACATGCAGCTAGTGTATATATGCATGTTAAGCTTATATAGAGGTCCACCCCCTCCTTTCCCATAAAAAGTTTAGCTATTGACCTACCACAGGATGCAACCCCACAACAAGCCGACTAATGCCTGGGTACTTATTTACTAGTAGGTGATGGGAAACGTGCCCAGCTATTCCTGTCCTACCTAGGATTCGAACCCAGAATTCTCGATTGTGAGCTGAGAAAGAACCCAATTGTACTACTGGAACATATGGTACCAAGTTGAAGGTAATGTTATTAAAAAGCTACAGTATAAAAAAAAGTTCTCAGATCATTACGAATGAGCCTTCGTAACTCACCTTGTCATTTTCTGCTCGCTGCTTCTGTTCTTGAATAGCAAATAATCTTTCAATGCCAAAACTGACACCAACACAAGGCACAGTCTTCTTTTTTGGATCAAACATCCCTACCAGTCCATCGTACCTTCCACCTCCAGCAACACTTCCCACAGGTCCATCTTTAGTCTGGCCAGCTGTCAACACAGCCTCATAAATAACTCCAGTGTAATAGTCAAGGCCTCGAGCCAAACCCATGTCAAACACCAAGTGGGCATCACAATCAAGACTCTTACAGTACTGATAGAGAAGATTAAGGTCTGCAAGGCCAGCCTGTCAGAAAAGATGATTATTAAAATTTACCACAAAACATAATACTTCAGAAGTGTGTGTACATATAATAATATAATCTGATAGAAAATTATGTAGGTGATAATACTGTGACCATCCTGTACATTTGATACAATGAAATAAAGGGCTTAATTCAGGAAATTTTAATTTGGACATGTTGAATAAATGGGTAACAACAGACTAATGAAGTGAAAGTATTAATACTACTTTGAGGGCAGGAAGAGATGACATGGTGTAAAGAAGTAGGGATAGTGTGTGAAAAGTATGTGGAACTTGGTAGGGAAGAAACATGAGTGGCAGCAGTTTGTAAGGGAGTGAAAGTGGTGTTTGTACTTTGTAATAATTCATAAGGAGAACTATATACCTATTCTTATGAAGCTACTGTGAATAATTTGCTGCTATTTGCTGAAGCGTGTTTCTTCATGAGATTGTATAATGTACTTGAAATGGTGAATGGTCAGGTGCCTATTTTTCCTCAAAGATGATCTCCCACTCTTCAATAATGTAAGAAAGAAGTAATGATGATGATGTAATGTATGAGACAGACTGGAGCATGTACTGAAGAATGTCCAATATTGTATCTGCTTGGTCTCTGTGTAGCTTTAGACGTTTTACTTTTAACAACAAAAATGTCACATGAACACAGAACACTAAGAATGCACAAGGTATTAATTCATTCTACCAGTATGTGATCTTGTTGAACCATTATTGTGATAATTTTGTAAAATATCTTACCTGAGCAGCAGCTGAATTTTTCAATCGCTCATCATTCTTTAGCTTTTCTATGAGATCCTCCTTGCCAGAAAACTTAACATATTCTCCAATAATATCAGCAACATTATCATCCAAGCCCTTCTCATCTACCATTTCTTTTCTTACGTCTTCCCAAGGTGACTTGTCAAGCTTGTCCACTGCAGAGCAAATCGGACGGAACTTCTCACATGGGACACCACATGCCCCAAATACTCCATCAAGGATTTTTCTGTGGTTTACCTAAAAATACCAATTCAAAATAATGAAAAAAATTAAGCAAATACTATACAGTACTACAATATTTAAAACATTTCTGCATATTATATTCTCATCAATTTTATCATTTTTAACTAAAATTAACCATATACTTTTTTATTTAAAGTACAATATAGAAAATGATTATGTTGAAATCTATGGCTGCACAAGATAAAGTCAGTGGTTTTTGACCTTAATGATAAAGTCTCCCAAGTTCAGTTTTGACAACACTTGATGAACTAGCTGTACACACTCTGCATCAGCAATCATAGGATCATACTGCCCAGCAATATCAAAGTCACACTGGTAAAACTCTCTATATCGACCTGTAAAATGAGACAAAATACAATCAAATGTTGTCTTATCTTGATATATATAAGACTAGAGTATTGAGTATAAGATTATATTAGGACCTGTAATTTACATAAAAATTTATACATAATATTTAAAAAAAATTTAATAAAATATAAAATAATCATCATCAAAAGGTTTATGCTATAATGTCCATTTTAAGTACCACTTCGGTTATTAAATTAAGGACTAGTCATTAGGTCAATATATTACAACACTTGAGGATTTTACAGCCAGAACATGGATGCTAATTATACACTGAATAAAACACCAAAACAGAAATGACCTAAAATGGCCAAATATTATTATTTTTTTTCTCTGAAAAAATTCTGCCACTAATTTAATTCATACCTCTCGTCATAGCTGGATTGTCTCTACGGTAGACACGAGCTACATGATATCGTTTTATGTTTGCAATTTTATTCATGGCGACATATCGAGCAAAAGGGACTGTAAGGTCATATCTCATCGACAGAATTTCGCCTCCTTGGTCCTCTAGGTCATAAATAAGTTTTGAATCCTCTCCATATTTGCCAGTAAGCACATCCTATTGAGAAAATACAAACGTCAGTTTAATTATACTGTAATTTACAGTAAAGAGAATGATCACAGGAGTTTTCTTTTCTGTATGCATGTTTCACAATACATATATTATGAATATTCTTATAAATAAGGAAAAACTCATGATAAAGCTGAACTGTTATATTCTTATGCTAATTTAACTAAACCAACACCTAACAAGAATTAGGACCTTCAGTGTTTCTGTATGTAAGGGTGCCTGAAGTGTTGTGTACAAATTTGATATTAGATAAGAGCTGTCCGAGAATCAGACAAAAAACAGGCATGCATTAACCTACATCACATGACAATACTTTAACAGTATTTTAATTAATGACATCACTCAATTTGCAAATGTTAAGAGGTCAAGCATAAAATATCAACATTAATGAGAAGCACGAACCTTAAGTTCAAATACTGGTGTCTCAATTTCTACAGCTCCATGCAAGTGGAATACATTATATATTGTATCAAAAACCTGGAAATAAAATTAAACAAGTTATTATAAGGCTCACTTATGGTATATACATTCTTTAAGCTTCAAAAAATTACACAACGTTATCAAATGATGCTCATTCAAATATGCTTTGCTTTAATCAATAAATAAATATTACACAAAAACTGTAATTGGGTATTTTGACTGAAATATAAATACACTAAACACAGATTTCAGCGTTATATCAAATTTTGTTGATAAATAATTGAATTGGAAATACAAAACATCATCACAAAGTGTATCCCATTTTAATGTGGCTTTTGGAATGTGTGAATGGTTTTAATTCTGGCATGCTTTCCTGCAAGACTTGCATTGCATAATGGCATAGGATAGAGCAGTCCACCATACTTGTGGTCACCCCAAAATCAGCAATCACCTCGGTAGATGTTATGCCATAAACACCTGCCAGTAATGAGTTGGAACTGAAGAAAAAAGCTTAAAACAGTACTTCAATATGATATTCAAACCTATTTGAAGTGTCTCTGACATTTGTGGTGTCTTTTATCTAAAAATGCAGGTGCTCTAGGTTTTTTAGGAGCATAAGGCCTTGTGCCATAAACCAGCTGAGTACAGACTTAACTCTATTATGATACAGTAATGATAAACTTATCTAAATCTTACTTGTCTTCTGACGGTCATTTCTACCGGCCCATAATCCCGGGTGCCCTTTGGTGTTTTTAATGTAAATTTTCCAGGTTTCTTTTTTACTTGTTCACCATCTTTATTATTCTGAAGAAAGAAAAACAATATATTAGGTCTTCAAAAGTATATCAACAAACAGCCTGGATATGGTACTACAGTATTGGAATGTTCATTACAGTATAGTACATATATGGATAAGAATTATATTTTTTAAATTGAATTAAAAAGCAAATTACAGTACATGATACAACAACAAAATGTAGCTAATTTGTATTTCAAATTATATAGTGTATATGTATTAAGTCTGAATTAAAATACTACATTATTTATATACAGTAATACAGTGCTGAATGTGTCTATATTATTACTGTATAATGAATACAATATACAAGTATATTGCATTCCAAAGTACCAGTACATTTGTTATTTCTTTTGAAGAGTACACAGAGTAGTAGAGACTCACAGCTAGACATATGGCTAGCAGTATCAGGCCGACTCGTGTGTACTAATGCTCTCCTAGGTCTACCAAAATGCTGAGTAAGTTTCACAGTCAACAAGTACAGTACTTGTAACTTTTCTTTTTCATTTTAATTATGAAAGAAATTAAAATTGAGGCATGTATTACACGAGTTACAAAACCGCAAAATTGAGTAAAAATATTAAAGATCATGTTTAGAAATCATTCTATGCTAAAGTAGAGCAACTGCTTGAGAGTGCTGGCATGCATTTTACAGCTCATTGGAAATACTGTGCACTATGTGCAGCCTGTGACATGCAACAGGTATATGTGATTCTAAATCATACTCCTTTGCTTCTCAAGGTCAAAATTGATATATTCATGATGAAATTGCTGGTTTCAAGGTGTTTATACCCTTGGGTATAAAAGTTTATACCCTTGGGTATAAACAGTGGTGCAGAGAATGGCAGCAATGTGTGCAAACATTGGCTAAGGATAAAGAAAACAGATACAGTACCTATGCACAAACCTAAATGCTAGACCATGTGCAACAGCACAATTCATACTCATTAAATGACCCATTTTTTTAAATATATTTGTGTATGCATTACAGTATCATTAAAACATTTCCTACTTTCATAGGGTGTTGAGGTAGCTGCTTGTAATAAAAAGGTGAATAATCGGCTCGGTAAATAAGGTTAGAACATTATAACTATTTACTCTCATCTATTCCCTTAATACCACACATGCTTCTCACACTGTGTACTTCTAATGTTCTAGCTATTGATATTTTTCAGTTTCATACCACAGCATTGTTTCGCAGCAATATATAAGGGCTGGGACTACCACTCAGTTACACAGTCCTCAATCTACATCTGCAGTGCTCCATAGTTAGTTGTCAAACATTTGGAAAATTAACACAGTACTGTAAGATATTTGTTATTACCACCCAAGATTATCTACTTTAACTGTTAAGCAAAATCTCACGAAACTATTCGTAAGTTTAATTATCATGCCCCTTCAACTGCAACTGAAATATTACTTTCAATAAAACTTTCACTATCATTAACCCAAAATCTATCAGTACAGTACAAAACTATGCCAACAGTACAGTACTACAAAAAACTAACTTGTGGCCCATTCTTTGAATTTTGTGCTTCATCACTCATCTTTATGTTCTTGTGAACAAAGTCTGACAGCTGCTCATCCATCTGTAAATGGAACAAGAGAATCACTCATACCATAAACATTAACATTCCTTTTTAACAGGATTTGCCACTTCATAAAAAATACCTACTTTTCCTAAAATATCTTTCAATGCATTAAATAAAATAAAAACATGCAGTGCTGTTCATTAAACAAAAAATGGTTTTAATTAATCTTATTGGATTAATTTTAAAGTAATAAAAATCAAGCAATAGCAAAGCTTGCTCCTCTGAATAGTCCTCACAAATATTTAAAGCAAATATGGTCCAGTATTAAAATTTAACAAATGATTGCTAAGCCAGTTTCTACTGTACTGTATATGCAGACATTTAAATGGTGAATAATCATTATCAAGTGAATATAGTACAGTACTACAATTAAAATAATAAAATGGTTATAGTAGAAAACTTACTACACTGCCGTAGTGCTTAAATGAAAGTGAAAGAATGATCTAATTTATGTTTGAGTGTACGGTATTAAAAACTTAATTTTGGGATGTAACCTACATCCTTTCTCGAGGTACTATACATATACAGTACAATACAGTGGAACTTCAAGTGACGAGCGGCTCCAGTTACGAGCAAGCCACTCGCAGAAAATGTCTCGACTGACGAGCTTTCGCTCGATTAACGAGCGTTCCTCCTGGTTCTCGGACACCTTCGACGACAGTTTTGTTGTTTCGCAAGACGAGTTTTCCACATGACGAACTTAGTGCCGGAACAGATTAAACTCTTAATCGAGGCGCCACTGTATTTTGTCATTGTGTACAGTACCTTGAGAAAGGATGTAGGATACATACAAAAATTTGGTTTTTAATACACTTAACACTTTCGCGCTTTCCGCAAAGGTCACTCAGCCAACCGAATGTGCGCGCTGCGTTTTTATCGCTTAAGCGTAAAAACAAAAATGTGTATACTCTTTTTACTCTTCTGACCTTAGTTCTCATGCTACGTATTTCATTTTGGTACCAACGTGTTCGCAATAAAATTCTCTAGAAGAACATTAGTAAAATAAGTCACGAAACATATAGGGATACCAGCACCAAATAAATAACTACGTAGATGACTCGCCGTGAGCGCCCATCAGCAACAAAATGTTTTTACTCTTGGGATTGTAATCACCTCCACACTTGTTCTACAGCGTTAATTTTGGTATCAATGGACTCGCAATGAAATTCCCAACACGGTGATATGAATATAAGCGTAGAATAATGATGCAGCCCGCCCGCAAGAGTGTGGGAAGTGGTGAAATTGTTACCCGGTATCGGTGACGGGACGACGCACGGCGCTTTGAAAGTTTATACTTATTTCACTCTCATGACATTAATTTTCTATGTACGTCATTCATTTTTATGTCAATGTGTTCGCAATAGAATGTTCTATGTGCCCATAGGTAAAAAATATCAACAAAGCGTAAGTTAGAATAGCGACAAATATAAAACAACGCTGGAACATATCAGTGAGCGCCAAACACACACGAAATATTTTTACTTTTGTTATGTTTGTCAAGATTATACTTGTTGCACACAGTTATTTTTGGTTGTATATTGATCGGAATAAAATTCCCTAAACAGACATATCCATATAATACATGATATGGGGGAAGAATTACCAGTATAAACGGCTAAAGTCACCCATCTGCAACCCGTTTGGGACAAAATACCATTTGATCGAGGTTATCCACACCTTTCATGAACTTATTGTACCATGCAGCCTAGTGGTGAGAAAGAGAGCCTCATAGCGCGCAGTTTGAAACAAACCCAAAGTAAATCGGATAAAAATTGAATTTTATACAAATATTTTAAAAGTAGACATAACTTTATGTCCACTATGCATTTACGTTAGACGAAACCGAACGCGCTGGCGCGTCCAGATAGCGCGAAAGTGTTAAACATAAATTGGGACTTACATTCACCTTCATGGTTAATAGTTATATTTTATGAATACTGTATGCAGTACATTTGTGCATGCCCAAAGCAAATACAGTATATAGTTTTGAAAAGCAAATGCTAATGTACTGTGGTTATTTATACACCAACATGAGGGGAGAAAAAAGTACTGTAATTTAGAAAATTTCAGTGCTGAATAGACTAACTACTGTATTGAGAAAAAGTCTCCATTACGTTTTTCCACAGAAAACCAAAAATAAGATGATTCAGTATATGGTAAATTAAATTCTGAAGATTAATATTGCCGGAAGTATCAAATGAAGGTACCAAGTTGGGAACAAATTTTGGCAGGAAGGTCACACATGTAATTAATATCACTGTTTTGATTATATTATAATTTAAACAGCTACAATTTCATTAATAACAAGGAAAGTAAAATTCTGAAATTTCTTTCAGAACAGAGTTTTGAAATACCAGAACCCTTATGAAAAAATAAGTGCTACAGTGTTAATGTGAGGAACATCTAGAGTACAGTACAGTACTATATATATATTAGATAAAAGGTGAACTAGTATCCAACTTGAAAAAAGCTGCTGCTGTTATAATTTCTTCATACAAGTTTCCTTAAATATTCCTCCACCTTTAAAAAAAAAAAAGATGTTTGAATCAACATTTATAATAATAAAGCATAAAAGCATATAAGCAATCTGAAGATTCATTTAAGCAATGTGATAGGCATCAATCAGTAAATCCACATGGCCATGCACAATAATGATAAATTCATACATTGTAAAGCATATAAAGCAATACAGCAATCATTTTTCATATAATTTACAACTACTGTACTGAGCATGCATCATCCCCACTAACTAATCCCCCTTCGTGATCTCATGCTAATATGTTGTAAGTTCTTAAAAATTTATATATGCCTTTGCACCAAGCTGCAGTTCTTCAGATTGATCATGGAATATATAAATTATGTTTTATTAAGTGTATATGGTTGTTTGCTCACCACAATAGGATATAAATGTCTTGATATAAGAATGTAAGACATAGGCAACACCTACAAATAAGTACTGTCCCACTGTATGAATGTGATAGTCTAAGTCTCTCTCTCTCTCTCTCTCTCTGGCACATTATTTCCAGCCACTAGATAAAAGTGGGATAAAATGAAGATGCAAAATAATATTTGAGTTAAAATAGCAGCAAGGCAAACACAAGTCTGAACTACTGTTTGTACGAAGCGTACACGCCTACCTTATACACTAGGCTTCTTGTGCCAGGGAGAGACGAGAGGAGTGTGGCAGACATTTGAATAGTGATGCCTCTACCAGCCATGAGTTGGTTTGCAGGTTTTAAACTTCTATATAGTGAACCAATAAAAGCCATTTCAAGTCTTCTTTTGACTGGAATATTAGCCTAACTTCTCTAAATCGCCAAGTGTTTCCTGACACCTGATTCTTGTCTTCTTGTATACAGAGATCAAAGCTGTGAATAAATGGAAAATACTGATAGTAAGACAAGTTCAATATTTGATGATTATTTATACTGGTACTGAAATTCTAAAGTACAGTACTGTATAGTGTAAACGTACTGGGTAGTCAAAACGAAATTCTGGTAAAGTTCAAAGGGGAGATTAGTCTGTTTTAATTTACCCCTAAGGATATTAGTGTGTTACATTTCAGCTTTAATTAAAGGTAAGTAAGATTTTGCAATGGCTTTTAACAAATCAAATTTTTAATGCAAAACCTAAAAATAAACTGCCTTGTAAACACCCATTTTTAAAACCACTAAAATTCTAATCTATCATATTCCAGAGAATAGAAAACAGTACATTGAAATACAAACTGCAGCGAGGTAAAAGCTTCTCCCAAAAGATGGTGTAGAAAATAAACATTTTGTGGCATCACACCTTACAACCAACAGTATATGGTGGTAATGCCTGGCACTCGCTGGAGGAGAAAGTAGCCATGTGTGCTGCCCAGCGTCGCACATTGCATAATGTGTGAGGGGGACTGTGGGGAACACAGCCTGAGGTTAGAACTGCTATGTCTGCCTGTGAAGGCTGGAAACCTCCCACATAGCTGTACTGTGACAGATGAACATCCAGAAGCACTAGAGGCACCTCCTGTATTGGACGGACACACTTAATATACTGTACATTACTTGTACTGTACTGTACTTAAAAACTTGGTTAAAACTGTATTAGTTAACTACAAATTCTTAAAATCTAAAACTGGAATAGGTATTATATGTCTTCAACTAGAGCCATAATTAAAACATCAAGTGTTTTGAAAATATTATTAACAAAATATTTATCAGCAATAAATTAACATTAAAAAGTTTTTCTGGGAACATATGATTTTTGTGAACAATTTGTTTAAATTTGCAATGTTAGCCAAAATACTTAAAAGGAGATTGATTGTTCATAATATCTTTTCTGGGGAAGCCCCATGGTGACTCCCTGTAGCAATCTCACTTGAGATTGCTCCAATCTACCAGTCACAGCAGTTGCATAAGTTCATTTGACCTACTGGGAATTAGAGCCAAAACCTGGCCCCCCTCTACAAGGCACAGGGAACAAATGACAGTCCACCATTTCATCGGGAACCCATCCAGAAAGTTAGCGAAGCTAACTAAGCTAAGTTAGCGAAGCGAACACTGTACTGCTCCTTTGTCGCATCATCTTGCAGCAAATCCTAGAGCTTCTAAGCAAAATACTGATTCACCTTACCCAGGATCAGTATTGGGTCCATTGTTTCAGGTGCACAGTGCTGTGCGCATGTTCACAGCTGTGTGCCAAGCATTATAGAGGATTTGGCTCCCTCTGGGCTCTGGCTTCACTCCAAATACGACCCCAGTGGTATCTTCAGTCTTTTCTCTTGAGGTGATGGACGCTGCAGATATCTCGCCTACTGCATTGTTGAGGTTAAGCTCTCCTGCAGTCCATGTCCAGAGCATTCACAATGTTCTCGAGGATGGCGGGTCTCAGCTCCATTCTATCTCCATGGAATGGACCGTCAACGCGTCCTTCCAGCGGCTCTGCAAGACGTTCGCCTGCTCCAAGGTGGATCTTTTCGCATCGGCCTGGAACCGGTGCTTTCCATCCTATCTCCCCAGAAACCCAGCATTAAATGCAATGAAATGCCTCTTTTTGGTAGAGTGCCAGTGGCTCCTTGTCTCCCTCCCTTCCATGTTTGTCAGTTCATTGCAGTGTTTATCTGCTCCTGAACTGATCTAATACCTGACGCTGGACTGAGCTCCAGGGCCACCTAGTGGTGGTATTCGGTACTAAGATTTCTAGCTAGGTTTGTTTTCTTTTTGTTTATTCTGTATTGTTTGGGAAATTATTTGTGAGAATAGAGAAGGGAGCCGGTCGGCCGAGCGGACAGCACACTGGACTTGTGATCCTGTGGTCCTGGGTTCGATCCCAGGCACCGGCGAGAAACATTGGGCAGAGTTTCTTTCACCCTATGCCCCTGTTGCCTAGCAGTAAAATAGGTACCTGGGTGTTAGTCAGCTGTCACGGGCTGCTTCCTGGGGGTGGAGGCCTGGTCGAGGACCGGGCCGCGGGGACACTAAAAAGCCCCGAAATCATCTCAAGATAACCTCAAGAAGATAGTGCCTTTTGAGCTATGCAAATCTAGCAGTTGTCTGCAAAACTTTCCTATCCTTCTGGATGCTTTCCTAGTGAAAAGACAGAATGTCATTTACTCCTTGTGCTCAATGGGATGGGGCAAAGTTTTGGCTCTGGTCCCTGGTAGACCAAATTAACTCATGCAACTGATGTGACTGATAGATTGGAGCAAACTCAGCAAGATAGCTACAGGGAGCCACTGAGACTACAAGAAAGAGGCATTTCATACATTCAATGCCAGGTTTTTTAGAATATGATTCTTGAAGTATGGCAATGAGATAAACCAACATATTGTGAACAGATCTGGATAACGAGACTTCGTAAATTTTTCATAAATCAAGGCAACCTTCTAGAGGATCAGAAATTAACCACAAAACTGGGCAGAGACTTGGTGGTACTGTAACTGCATTGTAATTGAGCAGCCACTAAAAGGTCCATCCAAGAAAAAATGTAAATCTAAAATGGCAAAAACGTGCAACGTAAGTCATTCACCGGATATTGTATGGACAGAAATTTCTGGATACTTAATAATGAACAGTATTCATTCAGGTTCAAACATCAACTTATAAGCTATATACAGGGCAGAAGCAAATGCAGCCTAATGCACATTGTTCTAACATTTTACAATTTATTCATTTGGGACACAATTATTAACACAAATAACACTTACTCCGGCAAGCAGCTTAAAATATATTTTACCAACATACTGTATACAGTATAGAGTTAAGAGTTAGCAAAGCATGATTGATATTTATACAGCTAACAAATCTTGCATGCAAGTGAGGCTTTTATAAACGGGCACAGAATAAATGTCAGTAAACTCCAATTAATCTGGTTCTGTATAGCCCAAATCCGAATCTCTAGATCTAAGTGAAATTCGATCTGGTTATGATCTTTCACATTTCAATCATCAAAATAGGTATGGCTACAGTGTAAACGAAATACTCACACTTACCTGGATCTGCGATAACAAAGTTTTATCTTTTGTATATCAATTTAATATGTAATCTAATATAAATTTTTGGGCATTACAATACTGTAGCTAAAATGGCAAAACACTTTTAACTTAGATAATTCAGATCTCTGCTTGATACAAAAGGGGTCCAGTCCCAATTAGTCAAGGCAATCAAAGAATCTACTGGTATACAAATACAAGCAATTTAAAGATATTTGTACTGTGTGTGTAAATTACTGTACCCGAGTCAAAAACTTAATACACTACAGTACAGTACTAATATATTGTTGATCTTGAAAGTAGTCAAGTGGTTTTACTATACCAAACCATCAAAGAGGTGGACATTAAACAAAAAAAATTTACTACAGTGTTAGGAAATAGTATAATGTACAAATAGCTATATTGTACTACAGTATAAGCAATATAAGTCAATATACAAGCATACTATACTTCCCATATACCACAATAAACCAGTTTACCTGTACAGTATTACACTCCACATATCACAAGATTGCCCAATATACTAAACTTAAACTAACACTTATTATCCATCAGAATAACTTCACTTACAAAACTTTAATTTTCAGTGGTAGATGTATATTACTCAAAATTCATGCTAGCATATATTATATATGCGAACAAGCCTGAATGGTCCTCAGGACTATAACAATCATTATCATTGGGATGATAATGAGTATTACCTTAGGACAGATGCTGGGATGAGTATTACCTTAGGACAGATGCTGGGATGAGTATTACCTTAGGATATATGCTGGGATAATAATGAGTATTACCTTAGGACAGATGTTGGGATGATAATGAGTATTACCTTAGGTCAGATGTTGGGATGATAATGAGTATTACCTTAGGACAGATGTTGGGATGATAATGAGTATTACCTTAGGACAGATGTTGGGATGATAATGAGTATTACCTTAGGACAGATGTTGGGATGATAATGAGTATTACCTTAGGACAGATGTTGGGATGATAATGAATATTACCTTAGGACACATGCTGGGATGATAATGAGTATTACCTTAGGACACATGCTGGGATGATAATGAGTATTACCTTAGGACACATGCTTAGATGATAACGAGTATTACCTTAGGACACATGCTGGGATGATAATGAGTATTACCTTAGGACACATGCTGGGATGATAATGAGTATTACCTTAGGACACATGCTTAGATGATAACGAGTATTACCTTAGGACACATGCTGGGATGATGAAATGACTCCACCGGTTTCACCAGTACTGCTCTCGGATATCATGTAATTACCTTAGAGAGAGCAAATAGTACTGCCCCTAACTTAATGCTTAAAATTAATAACCTGTAGCTAATAAAGTTAGCATAATACCCTGACCCAAATACGAAATATGTCGCGAGTCACTTGTCATACCTTTCCGTCCATGCTCCTGTTGTCATTACACGTTCACCATGTAAAGGAAAAAATAAATGTAACATTTTTAGAGTTCTATATATATGATATATTTTAGTTTTCTAAATAATAGTTTTGTGTGTTTAAAATAAAACGCTTTTTTGAATACTTGTGTTTCTTAACTCTTAGTAGTGAAGTTTATCGTTCTTGTGAACGCGCAGAGGATCCGGTCGTTCCGTACATAGCTGAGTGAACATTGAGCAGCTTCGTACAAATAATTTCATTAAAAAAAATCGTATTTTCTATGGGAAGGAGAGCATGATAATAGTCAAATTATGACACTAGCTCACCACATATATAAGTTGCTTAGATTTAATACTTTACTTGTGGTCGTTCTCGAACCCATTGTTGATATGATTACTGTAAAAGCTGTGTAACTGACATCATTTGTGCTTGGGGTTCTACTACACAAAATCATTTATGTCCTCTAATTACTCAACACAAAGCTGCTATTAGAACAATATCTAACTCTGGCCCCAGACAGCACTCAGTACCCTTACTCAAATTTTTTAATATGTTAGATATTAAGTCACTGCACATCCTCTCAAGTGTACTCTATATATTTAAAACTCCTTAAAAGTTTCATAGAAAGTTGTAACAGAACCCATGGGCATCACACCAGAAAGAAATACCTATTTGATTTTCCAAGAGTGCGACTTATTAACCAAACTAGAAATGCTCTACAACTCAAGGGACCCAGAATGTGGAATGACCTCCCTAATCATGCCAAAGGCTGTACCTCTCTCAACCAGTTTAAGAGTAGAACTAAGTACTACCTAATTAACTCCATGTAACCTACCTTACCCCCTAAATGTCAACCCATGGCTTGCTATTCTAAACAATGCTGTTTGTTGACCAACTTGTACAATTGCTGATTTTTGCCATCCCCCCCCCCCTTTTTTTTCTTTTTTTATTCCTATTTTCAACACAATTTATACTTTACTCCCAATTACTATTAAGTTTTAGTCTAAGTGCTTTTCCTCCACACCTTGCCCGAAACGCTGTGCGTATTAGTGGCTTTAGGTATTGTATGTACTAGCTCCATCTATAAATCCAACAGTATGTTTGTAACTCTGCATCTATGCAT